ACGAGGATTTTGAGACAGGAGTAAAGTACTCTTATTTTGAAAAATCTCGGGAAATGTTTTTCAGAAAAGTTGTTCAGAATTGAAAAATACATCTCTATTTTGAAGTCATGGCCATCTAAGTGAAATGGGGACTACGAAAAAAATCTGCTAAAACAATGAATAGACAGTATCCTGTATAAGACGGTTTATCTTAAAAGCCTGTAATATTACGAATTACACAACTATGGTGTTAACCACGTTCAATTTTTTGAAGAGTTTTTTCCACATACTTTCAAAGAATTCGAAACCTATCATTTACATCCTCCGCAATGCACAATGATTATTCGCGATTCTTTGTTTGCAGGCATGTTAGGCCTACATATTCTCGAACCATCAGTCCACCCTTTCGTAACTGTGTCGTGAGGGTCATACCAAGTTTCGTGCAAATAGAAAATTTGCCGTTGTTCTTGTCTATATTTAATTGTTCTGAGTATTTGTTAGGCAATTCTATTATTCTTCCGCTTTCCATAAATGCTTGATGTTTGTTTATTATTTTAAATCGGAAACCTAGTTTTTTTCATCCAATTCTGAAGAGTTTTGAACAGCAGCTCACGTTATGGCCGGAAGTATTCAATTTCTTCCTCATAATTTCAATTGTAGGAATCTCATTGCTTTTGTAACAGTCGTTTTTTTAATGTTTTTTTAATGATTTTATTAGATGAACATCTGAAGGTTTTGGTAATCCCGTATCACATCGCGTCTTGCGTTCATAAGGTTTGTTTTTGACTATTTTACGTATAGTTGAGAAAGGAATTTCGGTCAAATCTGACGTTGCTTGTAATAGTTTGTTTCCCTCGAAACCAAACTTGAGATGTAGATTCTTATATACATTGAAATATACTCTCTGTATTACAATATTCAAATGCATCCGAATCTTATTCACTGGTATCTCTTTTTCGCATTGTTCGCCAGCGCTATTGGAATCACTACACAGGAAAAAGTCTGCGTTGTTATCACAATCGTTATTACTATTAGTACTTGTCCAAGGACGCCACATTTTAAACAGATAACAAAAATTTTGAGTAATAACTGCACCAATATCGAATTTCAACACTTAAATCGCGATCAGTTCCTGAACGGAACATTGACGACACAACGGCGATACACATCGCCATATTCTATTCGTCACCGAAACATGACTTCAAATTTAATTTTGTAACTCTTCAGGAAATCATAAAACTCGGTTAGTAAAAATTATCCAATACGAACCGCCAATTCTTCAGTCCACGTGGACTAGTTCGTAGCGGCATTATTTCTCTGTATTCCTTTATGTGGCCTTTGAGATGCCGATAGTTTTAACTATTCACAATAAAGATTACTTCGACTTTACCTTATGTTTTATTCAGCGCCACATCAACCAATGAGTTTGAGTCTAATTGACTATTTTAAAAAAACCTCTTAAGAAGTCAGCTCACCAAGCGAAATATATAAGCAACTGGAAACAAATATTTGCTTGATTCAATTCGAGAATACAAACTTTTTTTACTCAGATTTAATTTATTTTTTAATTAAACTTCTTCCTGGAGTAAGGGCTCAGCCTGCTTCTCACTCAAATATTGAATTTATCTTCATGGAAAATAATAGGAATTCGATTTTCATTGGAATCGATATTTATTGAAAGTATGGCAATAAGTGAAGATAGAAAGACTCGTTTGTTTATAAGATTATCTCAAGAATGTAATGAGTAGGATTTGTAGACTTTATATATTTGTGACACAATATTGAAATAAAATATTCAACTTACAGAGTTACAGAAAACATAATCTTCTCTCAGACAGAATGCATAGCTTCAAAATCATGTATGCAACCTTAAACATGAACTCTTATAATAAATATTTTCAACTGGTCGGTGATAAACTGTTGAAACGTTACATTTTCTTATGTTACAAATGGAAAATTGAGATTTACCTGCTAGCATATTGAATTACGAATCTGTTGCGTTTTATAGCTTTTCGCAATAGTCAATGACAATTTTTGTTTAGGAATTCATTTATCACATCAGCGTGGCGTGAGTTTTCTGAAGTGATGAGAACATCAGTACCTATTTCTGTAGTTGTTGGGATATAAAGAAGGGTAGACAATTAGTTCAATCCATATTCAGCATCTCAATCTGAGTCTGTGACATTGATAGAAAAAAAGAAAAACAAACGTAGGCCAAGGTTCACTGATTACACACGAAAAAATCAAATAAAAAAGGCACGAAAAAATATAAACAGACTCCACCTGAATCCCACCTTGGTTATGACTGAAGTTAAAATTAGATTAAAAATCGTATATTCTGTTGATAGACACCCGTATCGTTAGTCTCATCCACTTCATTGCTTCTTTGTATTTTTTTTCCAATCTTTTCGAAAAATGATAAATTTCAAAATAGTATATGAAAATGAATTACAGTACTGTTCCATAACCGTACAAATAGAATCATCGTCACAATATTCTTATGAAGCAAATATTTTCATAAACACAGTAAAAAGTTTTTAATGAAGTTGACAGGTACAATGAAATCAGAGATTTATCAATACACAAATTCGTCTGAGACGGAATTGAAGACCTATACAATTATCATTAGAAAAAAACTTTTCAACATTCTCTTGGACTCTGAGAATGTGAACGAGGTGATTACAACTCTGATATCGACTTGGACTCCATTCAGCAAAAAGGCCCACATAGAAGTCACAATACGAGCGGCAATACAACAATGAGCCAATGTATGGGGTTTTCCTCAAAAAATTTTAGAGACTTTGGCTCATCAAAACAGAGCTTCGGTCGTGAGGGCTGACGTCGGAGACGGAAAGGTTTATCATGGCCTGCTAGGATGGTGTTTCAAACAGCTTAGTCGACTGTAATCACGTGCTGGCCACCTACGATACTCTAAGGCTAAGCGCAAATTTGAAGTGTGTGGGGTGACGCTGCACAGCACATTTTTTTGTGATAAACTAATAGAACAGCGTACAGGACAGAAGATGGCGCGACTAGCGTAACATGTAACTCGTGTGGCACAATGGTTGATACACAGTTGTTTTTCGTGTCGATTCTTTCGCTTGTCGCCAAAGGCTTTGTATTGCACATCATTGTGTTTTTTCTGTTTTTTCGTTGTTCATTTTTTTAATACAAAGTTATGGTTGGGGAAAAGTTAATTGAGATTGTAAGGGCAAACAAAAAATTGTTTTCCCTTCCAAGAGGATATTCTTGTTGGGTGATTTTACTTCATTATTAACGAGTAAATAGTAAAGCGAAAGTTGATCTTCAGCATCATTGATGGATTTTGATTCCGCACTCAATAAAAGCAATTATTTTTTAACTCGGTTGGATATAGGGGTACGATTGTCACTGCGAAACTGTGTTCAATTTGCGGATCATCCACGCAACGCGTGTGACATGTGCGACTCGTGCAGCTTTAGTACTTTGATAAGACATCTGTGTTGCTCCACGCTCCGGGGGATATTGTATTCGTTGTAGGGAATGAAAAGTGCCCAATTTGTTGGAACTATTCATTTCTCATTCCCCGGCTCATGAATGCTAATGAGCTTGATGTATTTTTTTCGTAATAGAGCGAAACAATATTCATCGTGGAATTTTCAGCTCCGAGGCAATAAGAAAAAGACAATCAAGTATACAACATGATACGAAAATAAAATTCAGGACTGAACATTTGAAAATTCAAAATTCCGACAATCGATAATGTGTTCTTATGTATCTGTCGTGAGTTTTCTGAAATATTTCGTACTGATATTGTTTTCTTTCACATGATTTGGAATATGGTTATACATTATATAGCAAATATTCTTTAACTGGGGAAGATGAATTTTGAAAGAGTTTCTTAACGTTTCACTGACAACCTGGAAGGTTGGCATTTTCAGGATGACAAATAATATATTTTATAATATGTTTCTATAATGAATACTCAGCGGTTTGTCCTTTCCTGTTTACTGATTTTGTCATGGTTTTAAAGTGCAAGAAATATGATGTAGAAGAATTATATCTATTGGCATTCTTAGATAACCCCTTATCGGTTGAAAAACTGACTGTGTATAAAATCTTTAGAATGAACGACCTTTTTGGCGGTAAATTTTGACATCTATTTTCGTTCCATCATTTTGAATGGAACTCTTGTAGTACAACTTTTTCGTAGGTTCGAAAAAACATTTTGTTTTGACGTTTCAATTTGTGTTAAATTCAAACCAGGAAATGGAACACTTGTAGTATGTTCCAATAGAAACGAATTTTAAGTATTGAAGGAATATTGGAAAACTCACTCATTATAAACGATGATCAACAGTTTCGAAAAACTACAAATGTATGAAAACTGACGACAAAAGCATCACTTAGTTCATTAGTCCAAACTTCAATCTGAACTTTTCACACTCATAACGTTGCTAGCTTAAAATTTCGTGGAGATTTCTTATTTTGAAAAAAATTAAAGATTCTTAACTCTCAGCTGTCATTATTAGTTTAGAATGCTCGTACTTTTTCAACTACTCTTATATTTCAAGATACAATTCATAACTCACCCTGCCAAGTTTCCACGTATACTACCGACACCCTGGTATTCAGTGTCCGGAAATACAGGTCCGCGATGTTGGCCACTTGTATCGCATCGTGCACAACTTCGCCTCTAGTACTTCCGTTTCTTTTATCGAACATCGCCTTGTCGATCACCAGGGCAGTTTCGATGTACTTCGTGGCCTCTCTGACGTCCTTCTTAACTCTTGTCATCGTATGTGGAAAAAACCCAGAGATGGGATTGAGTCTCCATTCCATGTGGCCTGAATTGGCGCATCCATTGTTGGCTTTGGTGCGAGTCTCAAATATCAAATGAGGATGCTTCTGCTGAAAAAACGAAAGCTGTGCAGTCACATCAGTTAGGCTGATTCATATATTTGATTGAATGAAGCGGACAGTTTTTGTAGATAGAAAAATTTTGATATGATATTTTTTTAATAAAATAAGAAAAAGAAGAAAAATATACAATTATGTGAGGTATCCCAACAATGTATTCCATAATGTCTATACCTCCCTTACTCAGCATTATATTGTGATAATGCTGTTAGCTATGGTCAATGACAAGATAATTTATGCGCTAACGACACAAAAAAACATGGTGACTTTTTTCAGAAAAATATTCTTGCTCCCATATACCAGAGCTGCAACATTCTTCATGTTAGTATCATCATAAAATAACATCATCAGTAGAAGACGCCAACTTGATTAGCGTAAAGCTTGCCTAGAAGAGCGATGTATTTCTGATGGGTGTTTTAAAAATCAAAGTTCGTTTTATTTCATTTTAACAGTGTGAGACATAAATGAATATTATAGTGCATTTGTTTCTAATAACTTCATGCTATGCTTGAATATAGTGCATTTTTTGTATGTTCCCCCCTTTTATTTTTGAACGGGTCAACTTAAAATATTGAAATTTGTGATAATGAAATTAATGCATGAATACTTTATTTTGAAGTGAAATTGACATGAGATGGCGACTGAGTGCCATCTGGGAAAAAAATTAAATAGAAAGGGGGGGGTTTTGTGACACATCTTTTTGAAGCTCCTGACAAATGCTTCACAACCCTAGAATATAATGTCAATATCTTCAAATACTACAAAATGGCGAAACATTCAGTAATTGCCTGAATACATTGATATTCAACTACATAATATGAGGTAATAAGCTTGAGGTCAGTTCAGAAATGCTCGAAATGGTTGCTTTGAACTTCTTGACATATGAACAGCCTATCCGATATTTCACGCCGAACATTTTCGAATACAGTAACGTCAATATCTCTACAAATATTTATTATTCACTGCCAATACTGAAGCAGGTTCAGTTTCGTACACCTTTCGCTTCAAATAGCCCCATAAATTGCTTCGACGATTTCAGTAATGAGAGGGTCAACAGTAGTTACTATCATATTCAAATACAGTTCCCCTGTTAAATTTTGATCAATAAATAGAGATCCTACAATATGGTTTCCCAATATTCCTGCCCAAACGTTAATTTTTTCTGGATATTGGGGGTGTTTTTTCCAGAAAACGTGAGGGTAGCAGTGACTCCAATTTTTCATATACAAGAAATAACTTAACAAACCTCATCGGGTTGTTGGAATTTCCATATGGCAGATAAAAAGGAATATTTCTAGAAATATCGATATTAATGTGTTTGTTTTCAGGAAATTATTTCTATTTGTCTTTAGCCTTGAAATAGACCTCAGTTTCGACGATTACCTCTTCGTCGGCATTACATTCTTTCCAGCAAGCATTCTCTTAGGTCGAGAACAGGAAAAATTTCGCTTGGAGCCAGATCTGGAGAGTACGGTGAAAGGGGAAGCAATTCGAAGCACAATCTATGCAATTTTATCATCGTTTTCATTGATTCGTGACCTGATGCATAATCTTAATGAAACAACACTTTCCGTCTTTTCGCGATTTCGTCTTTCATTAGATCCACTAACGCCAGTTAATAGTCGCTGTTGATGATTTAAACTTTTCAAGATAACCGATGAATTTTACACCATCCGCATTCCAAAATACTGATACCATAACTTGCGAACTTTGGAGTCGGTTCATCACGTGCAGTCCACTCAGATGACGATCGTTTTGATTCTGGTGTGGAATGATGGGACAATGTTTCGTCCATTGTCACATATCGACGCATTCATTCGGGTTTTTTATAGTGAAACAGCTTCTGTTCTCTGTCTGTCTGAAATCTGTTTTTCCGTTAACCAGCTGTCGCACCCCTACGAACGACAACCCTCAGAAGCCGAAATTTTTGCGAGCTAAGGATTAACGAGGTCTTACTTTTAAACACAACCAGCTATTTGAATTAACAATTCATTGTTGTTTTTGGTAGACTTTGAGCTTGCGCAGCATCCACTTTGAACAGAGTCTTCGCATACCCAAATATTCATGCACGATATGTCCAACATATTCCTTTGGTATTTTTAGAGCTTCAACTATCTCAATCAACTCCACTTTGCGGTCATCCAAATTTTTTTTGTGTACTTTTTCGATGTTTTCGTCGGCTACAGTCTCTTTAGGCCGTTCACTGCGTGCTTAGTCCTCGATGCCCATTTCATTTCGTTTAAACTCAGCAAACAACTCCTCAACGGTTAATTTTCCTGGTGCAAAGTCTGCATAGTGTTCATCAAGTCAAGCAAAAGTTTCTTGACTGAAAATGTTCTTCCCACGAACTAATAGTCCGACAGCTGTGAAAACTGTTCACGTATGTTTTGAAGGATACGGTTAACTGATAATCATATAGATTCAATACCAGTAGCACTATCTGTGTGTTAGTCTACGAACTTTCAATCTAGTAAGTAGTAAACAACAATATTTTCTCTCTCTCTAATTTTGTTGGACGTTGCTCCCCGCAAGGACGCATTTGTCGAACTTTTCACGATGAAAACAATTCAACTTTTTTATTGCCGCCTTCTGCAAAGACCTTTTGATTTTTTCCACATATATTTTTTGAGTCTCCTCCTCTTCGGGAAAGCTTCGGGTTATTAAATTCACATACATGGCTCCCTTTACGTGGTTATCCAAACCACCCCGGCCTGGATACCGGCGTGAATAAAGGGGGCCCTCACTTCACATTTTTGTCTAAACTTTCACATAAACTATAACATATTGATGACTTTGCACAATAGACAATCACAACATGAATAGAAGCCCCGCGATAGCACGTGGCATCCGCGTACCTTCTTTGTGGACGGACGTTATCGGTACCGGACGTACGTCCGCTCGTTCGATTATGGCTTTCTTCAATCTTGAACTGTTTCTCATTCTGGACGAATTTTTCTTCGTTATTGGTTTATTGAGTACTTCTTTCCATCTCTTCATGACAACCACTTCAAATGTCTTGTTGCCTTTGCTGTTCTATAATGTTCCTCTTCTGGATGTTTGTCATATTTTTTCGGAGTCAGTTTTGACTGTTCCTAAATGAATGTCCATATTTTTCTCAGATTCACATACTCGTAAGACATGCAATACGCTATAGATGCATCAGGCGTAGTCCTATTCTGTTTGGATGTTCTATGTACATTGATAATGTTGTGTTGGTATTTCTGTTATAATTCTATGTTGATTCCTATTTTGATGAAGCATCTTTTAACATATCTTATTGGCCAAGTGCTTAATCTGATTCCCAATGAGTAAATTTAAAGACGCCATAATTCCCAGATTCATCATTGCCTGATTAATCAGTCGGAATATTGATTTGGTCATTTCGTTGAAATTGCAAATTTGTGTTTCTTGCACATCACAAGAATGCATATAATTGTTATTTTCAGCTATTCTTTTTTTAATTATTTTTTTCAATAAAACATTTAGGGATTTCAAATCATTTTAATGATTTGAAATCCCTGAATGAAATGTTACATCTCCATTCTAATTCTCTCTTCTTGAAATAATACTTACCCTTGATCTCCTTGATGAACATATTTTTTATATAGGTAATACAAAAGACATTACACATAAATATTTCCCATCAACTTTTCCACTTTAACGTGGAAAATAAAGATTATTCCTAAAAAGTTCGCTTTCGAATTGTTAAAACTTTCCCCTCTGATTTTGGCCAGCAGCACTGTTATTGACAGGGGGTGAATGCTGTGGGACGGGAGGGTAATTGGTTGTCAGTCGTTAATTGGCGCGCCATGCGACATTTGTGAAGACGTGTTCATTAAAACTTATTTCATTTAGTGCTGCTGTATTTGATTCATCTGGGTCATTCGATCGGTTATTCAAGTGTTTGGTTTAAAATTTCATACATAAATGATGACTACATTACAGAATGAAGACTTTTGAGAAAATAATTCAGAAAAGTGCAATTGGGCTGGAAAACAACTACTGTTCCCAAATACCAGATCTGCAACACTCTTTTCGATGTACGTTTCTCATAGACTACTTCATCTTCTGAAGACGTTAACTTGGTTGGTGAAACGAGGGTCGAGAAGAGTGTTGCAGTTCTGGTGTTAACGAACAGTATTTATTTTGGATTTTTTGCGTTAGATGTTCCAGTTCTGTCTTTGATTAGGATGAGAAAATTTTTATCGTTTCCTGTCTGGATACATCAGAATTGTAAGGGAGAACTTTATGCACATAAAAACTGTGTGAAAACGATTATACTTGTCTAGGGAAAAATATTTTACAAAGAATGGACCTAATATTCATTTGAGCTCTATTGTTCAATTAGATTCTATTTAGATTTTTTTCATAAGCCAACATTCGACAGAACATGTCAATAAAATTATCATCACAACAATGTCGAAATTCATTAAAATTTCAAGACACAACACATAATATGGAATTAAAAATATAGTTTTCGGCTACAATTAGTAGTCCATATAATAATATTGAATAGGGAACTTGCATAAAAATTCAATCACGAAAATTACATTGAGAATCAGAAGATATCATTCTAATAAAGCCTTTATTACCAAAAAAAAAATATTTTTGAATGCTATTCGTTCTATAGTAACAATTGAAGTTTACTAAAAATTTAAATTTCGTCACGTCACCAAGAACGCCCAGCCATTGGATGTGACGTCATACTGTATTTCGCCAGTCGCCATTCCATTTATGTTGAACTGTTTGCGTTTGCTGGTTCGGAGTTTCTGTTGTTTATTGTGATATTTTCAACATTGATTTAATATTGATTATAATATTTAATTACGATTTTGATTTTCCAGTGTCGCTAGTCTGAACGCAATTGATATTTCACTGCTCATCAGTTTAAAGTTATCATAGCAGAACACATTTACGATGTAAAAAAAAATCTGCAACTTCCATATTAGAATGGTTGCGATGTGTCTATTAGATAAATATAATAAACT